TTCAGCAGTGTCCTACAGGTAATTTTTATGTATGCTAAAGTTTGAGAACCACTGCATGAAAAGTCTGCTTCACAGGCAACTGAGAGCCAACTGTGTGAGTGTGCTTTCTCTTCTGAACATGTGCGTTTTTTTTTCCTTTCTTTTTCATGGAAGACATGCTTTATGATCTCCACCTTGCCCTAAAACTGAGGGTGAGTCTGTCTTTTCCCCTGTGTGAATGCACATGTGAACTGAGAGATGGGACATGTGGAATCCAAGATGATTCTGGAATTCCTATGTTGTGGCATCCAATATAGTTGCCACTACCAACATGTAGCCATTTGGATTAAAATTTAAAATAAATAAAATTTAAAGTTCAGCTCTTCAGCCACACTAGCCACATTTTAAGCTGGTGGCTATGAGGTTGCATATGCAGATATAAAACATCTTCAGCCTCAGAGAAAGCACTACAGGACGGCACCTACATTCCTAATGGACCAGAGCTTGTCCACAATCTATCAAGCCACATCCAAGAAGACATCTCCAGGATGTGCTGGACTGAGAACTATGCCCCACAGATCCTGGCTGACGGCACTGAGAGAATTCAGGGACTAGAAATTTAAAGACAGTACAGAATATTATAGTGATAATAATAGTTCATATGCTACAGTAAAAGTTCATATTGTTTCAAAGTTAAAGCCTTAAAAAAAGTATCATAAACTTTGTCGTTAAAGTACTGAACAAGTGATATATAGCAGAAAAATCATAAGAACAAAAGTTTTTCGTGAAGAGTGAAATCTAAGTGGTGCATAAACAGCAACGGGGTACTATGTATTTAGTAAGCATGTGTGTCAAACACTCTGTTAACAGCCATAATCTGCCCTTTTGTCTTTAGATGTTACAGCTTTGTGTATATCAGGCCTGAATATTTCTTTTGTAGCTGGCTAATTAAATTCCAGTGCTTCAGCCTTGGGACTGCACGTCCTAACTGCTGGTATGCGGGGGAAAGAAACAGCGAGATTAAATGCAGTCATTCTTTCTTCTCCAGTAGTTGCCAAAAAACAATAGTACGCTGCACCAAAAATCTGTCCTTGAAAATGTTATTTATAACAAAGGAGTCTTGTAAGACACCCACACTTCAGAGTTTGTAGCTATGTCCTATATAAGTGGCCTTTAACCGCCAAATTTTAATTGGCTTTCTTGCTTACTAATGTGTTTTCCTAGATGTTAACAGTTAAATCCACATCTCTGTTTTCTAAAGATTGTTTGTTCATACGGATGTTCTGTTAAAAGCCAGAGGATATATGACACTTCCCTCTCATCTCATGAACATATAAAAGTAATAAAACTATGATTTTGCTAGATATCTGATTTATACAAGAGTATAAATGATCACTGTTGATCATTTAAATCAACAAAGGCCACACAAACTACGTAAAATAATTCCACTTTCAGGTGATCATATTTATATCAATAACTTACACTAATTGACTTGATATAGATTTTTGATTAATCCTGTCAAAATAAAATTCAACACAACAAATATTTATTATGCACCTATATGCAAGTACTAGAGGAGGAATCATGAGTCAGTAATCTATTACACATACATATAAATGCCCACACATCAGCGGTTTCCAATCATTTTCTGTTAGAGAAAAAACAATTACAATCATATGGATTATAAAGATAACATATTTATATTAGCATAATAAAGTGATATACTGATAATATTTAATATATATTGAGTATACTGAGTACTTATTAAGTATGAGACATCAGGCACTTCACATGCAGTGTCACTTTTGATTCTCACAACCACCTCATGATGTAGGTACATTTACAATCCCATTGTTCACAGGTGAGGAAAGTTCACAGAACTGTTCAATAATCTTACTGTCAGAAACCAGAGAAGACAGAGAGTACAGAAAAGATGGGTGCCAGGGCTGGGGAGAGGGGAAGTGGAGTTACTGGTTAATGGGTATAGAGTCTGTTTTCCAAGATGAAAAGAGTTAGACGGATGTGGTGATTGCTGTACAGCATTATGAATGTAGTTAATACTACTGAAACTCGTCACAATAATAAATTTTATGTAATGTCTATTTTACCACAATAAAATAAATTAAATAAATTAGAAAACCAAACGAGAGGAACACAAGAGACAGAAGAGTAACTCTGTACTGAGGCGACGACGTTACGGAACATATACTTGGTCTTCGCTCAGCAGCAGGAAGAGCACAAAAGTGTCTGTTGTTGTTCAAAATAAGCCCCTTTCAAACACACCTGAATTTATGTTAATGAGATGATATCTGGAAAGCACCTAAGGGTGGAGGCTGGTTGCCAGGGAAACCAACCACCTGACTAGAGGGTTAAAACTTTCAATGCCACTCCCCTCCCCTACCCAGGAGAGGAAAGGGGCTGGAGCCAATCACCAAGAGCCAATGATTTAACTGATCATGCGTACTAATGAAGCCTCCATAAAAACCAAAAGGACAGGGTTCAGAGAGCTTCTGAGTCGGTGAACATTCAAAAAGGGACCCCAGTTCCTACACTCGGGACCCTTCCGGACCTCGCCATACGCACCTCTTCACCTGGCTATTCATCTGTATCCCTTATCCTATGCTTTATAATAAACTGGTGAACGTAAGTAAATGTTTCTCCGAGTTCTGTGAGCCGCTCCAGCAAGCATATTAATCAAACCAGAGGAAGGGGTAATGAGAACCTCTGATTTATAAGTCGCTCAGAAGCACAGGTGGCAACCTGTGACTTAAACTGGCTTCTGAAGTGGGGGTGGTCTTGTGGGAGAGACGGAGCCCTTAACCTGTGGGATCTGATGTGATCTCCAGGTACACAGGGTCAGGGCTGAAATGAATTCTGCTTGGTATGTAAAAACTGCCACACATTTGGTGATGAGAAGTTCAGAAGTTCAGCAGTAAGTGTTAAGAGGAAACACAGAAGGTATGTTTTCCCTCCTACAGATGCACAGCTCAAAAGCAGACAGCAAGGGGAAGAGCTATGTGAGAACAGAAAGCAAGCTGACGCCAGTGTAAAGGCAGGCGTTCCCCCACAGCTGCGATGTGCCCTCCTCCAAAGAGGCCGCGTCCTAGCCAAGCACCATCACCCTACTGTTCAATTTAATTACAAAATAAAAAAACATACCTGAGGGGAGAGAAACTTTTCAATGCGTTTGGCTATAAAACCTTTCTCCAATATGGAGTTGACTGATGGTCTATCCCTAGGATTTCTTTTAAACAGTTGAGAGAGCAAACTGCGGAGATCATAAGAATAATGCAAAGACACGGGTGGGAAAGATCCAGATATGATCTTCAGTACCAGGTTTTTCATATTGCCAGCTTCAAACTAAAATCCAGAAAATAAATTAACATATATGAACATAAGCCGAAAATGTCAGTTTCAACAATGAGAAACAGTACTTTTCCTATCAATATAGAACAGAATTGCAACCCTCTTCCCAGTTTTAATCAGCACATGCTCTCTAGAGCAAGGTTCACTTGGTTATTTACGAACACATTTGAAAGAGAGTATCGGTCCTCATAAAATGGTACAACTCGCTATAAGATTAACTTTTACTTATTCAAAAAACTAAAAGATGGGATATAGGTATCAATTACAGAGTTTATAAAAACATAACAGTAATCAAGATGGTAAAACAAGCAAACCTGGTAGTCTTCATTTAAGACCTGCCTTCCTGTGCCCCTGCTATAGCAACTAGAACAAGAAATTAACTACAGAACTAAAACTATTTGTAAAAATATAATAAATAAAGGTACTGATTAATTTCCTTTTATACACTGCTCATTATTACTTTTAAGTGTGTGATGCTCCCAAAAGCCATGCGATCAGCAATGTGGCAAATATTCCAAAGGGGAATATAAGCCTTATCAATGGGAATATATGTTTTAGGATTAAAAACAATATAAACTCTAACTGAAGTGGGGGGAAAAAAGAGATGGGGCAGTTTAAAATCTAAAGATGATTTCATTTTGAAAGTAAAATTAAGCTTTTGACATCTCAGCTAAAATAGTATAGAACAGTTGTACACTATCAATATGTTCTTAATGCACACGTTAAGAAAACAAAACATGCTGTAAGTTAGGCACTGGTGATTATATCCAAGTATAAAAGAGTTCTGTTAAATGTGGAATTCTCCTAGCATTTAAAATATGATATTGTTTATTAAGATTTGAGTACAATTCAAACATCTAGAAATACCTATATACCTAAGAAGGATCCTAAATGCAGAAATAGGTTATTACTCTATTCTTTCATTACAATGAAGTTTTATTTATCTCTCAACTGATAAGCTCTTCATAAATAAAGGTTAATGAATTACTTAATTTTATGTGTCCACTTAAGGGAAAACAATTCCAAAATACAGAAACAATGGTGACAGAACAATGTATTGTAAATGAAAAGACTTTCTAAAAATATGTAGATTTAGACCTACATGACTGTGTGTCACAGAAAAACTGACCAATTCCTTAAAGTACAGATCTAATATCCACCAGGCCATATCACTTTGGCAGTCTATGTTTTTTTCCTTCAGAAAAATAAAATCTTAAGGGAATACAGTAGAAGAGTATTCAACTATGAATAAACACAACAAAGAAAAATACTACCCAAATAATATCAGGCAATAAAAACAAACTATAAAACTGCTTATACCATATAACCAAAATCTTGAGGGAAAAAAACCAAAAACTCATTTTATAAATTATTCTATAAGTCTAGAAGGAAACAACAAAATATTACAAGTAATCATTATTGGCTGGAAGAATTGCTTTTGATATTTATTCACTTACTTATATTTTAATCTCTTCCCTTAAGTTTTCTGTAATGAAAATATATTATTGCTTAATCAATGAGGGAAGCATTTTAAAAAGATTTTAAAATGGAAAGTGATTAAAATTCAACCTATTTTGGACAAGAACTCCCCCTTTTTGGTGAATTATGTGTTATCTCAAAAGAATCTCAACAGTGAAATTTTTAAATACTCTGAATTAAACATTATTTAAATTGATAAAATCCCCCCTCAATGAATATGCTGAGATATGTTCTTTAGATAATTTCAATTCCAAACTCAAATAATTTGGATGCTTTGAGAAAAACTGCTAAAATGAAATTAATAAAGTTTGTTAAGCTGAAATATCAAATTCATACGTGAATTTAACATTAAAAAGACAGCAAATTTGTCTTTAGAAATAATTTTCTGGAATAAAGTATGATATATGTATTATAATAACATATATAATATGTATATGTAATATATGCATACATATTAAGGGAAAACTGATTTAAATTTATACCTCAGAAAAGAAGAGAAATTTATAAACCGACAGAGAAGAATTTCTAGCACAAGAGGGTCATCTGAAAGATGGCATATGATTTTTTTAAATCAGAAACATTATACGTACTTTTGACATAATTCTTAAAGTATCTCAGAAACTTCTACTTACTGCATGTTTAAGTGTGCACATCTCATAAAGGACACACCCCAGAGCCCAAATGTCACTAGAAAAGAGAAAAATAAGAGATCTTCTCTAAATATCAGAATTTACTTTAAAAGGTTTTTTAACTTAAAGGAGACAAAAGCAGCATAAAAATGCTTTGCAAAAATATGTGTTCCCTAAAACATGACCTTTCAAACTTAAAATTACAACCATAACCAAATGACAAAAGCAGCTATCCCAGATTAGAAAAATAACAGTTGCCCAAGTAATTACTTTAAAAGTTTCATTAAAGAAATCTAATATTTAAAAGGACAAAAATCAGTAAATTTCATGGATGCTTCATTTAGTTTTTTTATTTTGCATGAATCAAAATGTTTTGTTCAATTATTTGCAAAATACCACAATTTCTTAAATACTATAAAAGCAAAATACTGCTTTAATGAAGAAAATAATAATTTACTAAAATTAACTCTGAAACAAATCTGTGACAGCCAACTAAAATATGTAAGTACATTAATTTATTTTCTCCTAATTTAAAGACTTAGTTACACTATCTTCTTTATCCATACTCTCTTCTGCTCTTTTATCTTAAACAGATAGTTCTGTAACTAAAAGACTACTTCTATTTTTAAAAGGAAAAACCCCCACAATTTAGAGCTACAGTGGTCCTTGGAAGTCAAAAAAAAGAAAAACAAAACCACTGCTCCTGGAAGTTGAACTTATTGAAAAAGAATAAAGCCCATTATCGAAATCCTAAAGTTATCTTTACCCAAACTCTCACAAAAATCTACAAGTATAAACCTGTAACCTCCAAAATCTGTTTTAAGATTCAACTAAGAAAAAAATGTAAATGTAATTAAGCTTTTAGTAACGTACATGTTACAAACTAAAAGCTATAAACAAAAACATTAAACTAATGATCTTATCAATAAAATACTTTAAAATACATTTGGGAAAATATGAATTTCAAAATATAATTGATGATGTTCATGCATTACATTTTTAAAGCATTTTTCCCACAAAACCAATCTTACATAAAATTCTCCAAGGGATGATTAAATCCATTTCAAATTTAAAGACTAATATTTTCACAGTTGAGTTAACCAGAAGACACAGAAACAGCATTAAAATTAAAATTAAAGTAAAATTACTTTAGCTCAAAGAAAATACTATTTTCTTTTAGAATATGTACTAATAATACACTGCATGGACTTGACTGATCATTGTAATTTAAACTGATCTTAAATACAGTCTTCGGATGACGTTCTCAGACCTTCTGCTCAGGTCTGAAACATAGCTTCTTCTCTACCCTCAAAGAAGAAAAGGGGGGCGGGCAGGGGTATAGCAACCATGAACACATGCATTATTGCCAGCTACCACTTTCTTCCTTTCAGCTTCTAAGGGTGCTTTCAAAATTAAGACCAATGCTTCTCGGTTGGCATTTTTAAATTAGTGAGTATGAGAGAAAATAAAGGGTAACTGGAATTCAGTGGCAAAATTCCTCTTCCCAACACACATATTAGTCAATCTGTTAGCCATAATACGGCCCAGTGATTAGGAATTCGTGCTTTGGAGCAAGATGCCTGGGACTTTGAAGTTACTTTACCTCTTTCTGCATTTGGTTTCTTTATAAAGAAAGGAGGAATGAATAATACCTACAACTCACAAGGTTATCGTGAAGATAAAAAGAGTTAATGCATAAAATGCATTTAAAACAGTGCCTGGCATATAGTAAGTGTTCAATAAATATTAACTATAATTCAATAAGTGACTGTTACAAACAGAAAGACAAAGAAAGCACTCTATTTCCCATTATAGCTTAAATAATAAAGTGATTCTATAGTTCCTTCAGCAAGATAGTGAAATAGCTGCTTTATAATTCCCCTCATTATATACTAAAAACATGTATATACATATGTATATATATGTCTACATATGTGCATTACTGATTTTAGAATAATATTCTGAAGGTTAATAAAGACAGTACAACAGAGAAAGATGTAAAGGAAATAAACACGTAATGAATATCATTTTAAATACCTTTTATTATTATATGGTTTGTTTTCACAGATTTCGGGTGACAAGTAGTATGGGGTCCCTATGCAAGTCCGAACCAGCTCCACAGTACTAGAACAAAAGAGAGTTACTGGAGAAGCTTAAGACATTTAAAGACATTACCACACATACATCACCAGGGATTAAAATTTCACTGAAGACATTATAGCAAACCAAAGTTTAAAACTGTATGTTACCTATTAAGAACTCTAGCAATTCCAAAATCTCCAAGTTGTATTGTCCCATCTTTGGTTAAAAATATGTTCTGTAAAAGAGATGAAAAAAAAAGCCAGAAATATTGCTACAGTCCAGTTCTTAGTCTACGACTTCTGTCATAAAAATGAATCCAGTTAAAAAATAATGCTGGGACAAGTGGATATCCACATGCGAAAGAATGAATGTAGACCCCTATCTCACACCATAAGCAAAAATTAACTCAGAATGGATTCTAGACCTAAATGTAAGAACTATAAAACTCCTAGAGGAAAACACAGGAGTAAATCTCCATGCCACTGGGTTATGCAATGATTTCTTAGATATGACACCAAAAGCACAAGCAAAAAAAGAAAATACAGATAAATTGGATTTCATTAAATTAAAAACTTTTGTGCAAAGGACACCATCAAGAAAGTAAACAGACAACCCACAGAACTGGGGAAAATATTTGCAAATCATGTATCTGACAAAGAATCTGCATCCAGCATAAAGAACTCTTACAACTCAATAATAACCGAAGACAACCCAATTTTAAAATAGGCACAGTCATATATTATATGATTCATTTGTATCAAATGTCCAGAATAGGCAAATCCACAGAGACAGAAAGCATACCACTGGTTTCCAATGCTCTATCATCAAACTGCGGAGCCAGGAGTTTGTGGGATTACATGAATTAAACTCCGTTATCAGTCAGATGTGAACCAAGCACATGCTCACAGCCAAAGATGGCACAAGGCAGGGTTGAGTGGAATGGAGTAAAATGGTCTGAAATGGGATTAGGAGGCAGAGGGTCGGGAGACAGGCAAGATGGGGTAGGGAGCCCCACCATAGTCCCTCTCCTTCCCACTACTCATCCTGGGGCTACAAGGCTACATAAGCAGCTGCAGGCCTAAGGAGGTAAGAAGACAGACACACAGCCTTGACATCAGGAAACAAAGCCCCTCTGTACTACCCACTCTGGGAAGTGCGTGAGCCCAAGTGAGGCAAACGTGAAAGAAACCTCGATGCAAAGATGAGTGAGCTGTGGGGACAAAGTATCTCCCACAAAAGAATCCAATACACGTGAAGAAAGCTACTGCAAAGAAAAACAACCAATAAAATAACCAGAACCAGAATTCACTACAGACAGAATTAGCTTTATAAAGCAGTCCAATAAAAACTTTGAAGTAAATATATTTAGAAACTTGCAAAGAAATAAATGAAGAAATAAATATGCATTTGAAAAGAACAAGACATTATGAAACAAAACCCAATTACAATAAGAACAGATCTATATGAAAAACCATTTAGAAACCTTGGAGAGGAAAAAAGTCATAACAAAGTCAACAGATGAGAAAAGCACTAGTTTACACAAAATTTCAAGGGGATTTAGTTAACTAGAAGATAGGTGGAAAAATTCATGTAGAATACAACTGAGAGAGACACAAATAAAATGTGAAAGAACAAATAAGACATCTGAAGGGACGAATTAAGAAGCTCCAACGTGTGTCTAGAAAAAAATCCAGGAGAAACTGTGAAAGTAGCAAAAGAGAAATAATATTTGAAAAAATATAACTAAACATTTTCTACAACATTTCTAGAAGAAATATACATTCTCAAAAGTATACAGCATAATGAATAAAAGTGAGCCTCACCAATTCACAAACTATGAAATTTCAGAACCATGGGACAGAGAGAATATCTTAAATGGGTCAGAGAGAAGAAACAAGGGCAAGAGATTGCAAATTCCTAAACAGCAACACAAGAAGCCAAAAGACAAATGGGCAACATCTTAAAAATTCTGTAAGAAAACAATTTCTAACCAGAAGTTGATAACCAAATTCTCATCAAAGTTAGAGAATCTCGGACTTCCCTTGTGGCGCAGCGGTTAAGAATCCACCTGCTAAGGCAGGGGACACGGGTTCAAACCCTGGTCTGGGAAGATCCCACATGCTGTGGAGCAACTAAGCCCATGCACCACAACTACCAAGCCTGCGCTCTACAACCTGCAAGCCATAACTACTGAGCCCGTGTGCCACAACTACTGAAGCCCGTGCTCCACAAGAGGAGCCACCACAATGAGAAGCTCACACACCGCAACAAAGAGTAGCCCCTGCTAACCGCAACTATAGAAAGCCCGCGCAAAGCAAAGACCCAATGTAGCCAAAAATAGATAAATAAAAAGTAAATACATTTTTTCAAAAATTAAAAAAAATAAAGTAGGAGAATCTTCAAACATGCAAAATCTCAAAAACAAACAAACAAACAAACAAATCCCTTCCACATAACCATTGTTTTGGATTTCTTCCGTCATAATGAAAGAGCAGGACATGAAAAGCAGGCAAAGACCTAACACACAACGCCTGTGTGATATTCAGGGTTACAGTGGAGTGGGGACCGTGAAGGGAGAAGACAGTCGGATGCAGACTGCACCAAGCTCAAACATTCTAGCCCAAGACAATGCTGGCCCCATGTCCACATCCACTGAGAAGTCAGTAGTGACATAATAAACTTACCTGTGATTTTATGTCTCGATGAAGAATTTTTCTATCATGTACATGTTTCAGGGCCAAACATATCTGTACAAACCAGTCCAAAATCTAGGGGGGAAAAATAAGATCTGTCATTTCTTTTAAAATTTGCATTTCACAGTAGTCTTTCCTTGATCATTAAAATGATTCAGCAATATTCAGGGATGAGGGGAACTAAATCCTTAAAAAAAATTAGGCTATAAAGTTTCACTTCACTATACTGTAATTAATATCACCAACATTAGGTAGATATTTGAGCCAACTGACACATTATGTGCAGCACACATGGTAAGTTTAAATGTAAGACACTGCTACTGAAGCATCTCCTATAAATCAGAATATGGAAAGAAATTTCCAGAGAAAAGTGAAAAATGGAATTACTTTATATTTTAGTATAGTATGATGGTAAGTGACTTTTCTTTGTTGTTAAATATATCTTTTTTTTCTATATACGTAAGTAAAAATCATAAGAGGAAAAAAATTAGGCTGGAAATTGGGAAGACATCTCTGACTTTTTTCTCGCCTCACATTCATCACATAAAAACACACACTCTGGAGTTGGCCACTTGAAAGTAAAAAGGCTGAATTTCTACCTCACTCCTAACACCAAAAAAATTCCAAGTAGATGGCTTTTTTTTTTTTTTTTTTTTTTTTTT